GGGATTAACAGAACTCAAAAACCACTGGACGAATTGACACCAAATTTGGACACAAGACACCTAACAACCCAATGTATGTCCTTCACTCAAAAAAATTGATTTTGTCATTTGGGAGTTGTACTTGCTGGGATTTATAGTTTTTTTTGGGAGGGGTTGAAAATTTCGGGGGGGGGGTTGAAAATTTCACGGGGGGGGTTGAAACCTGCCTCCTAGCTCACGCTGAAGCAAAGAGCACAGCAGGGGGCAGAGCAGCCTTCAATAGCCTGCAGCTCCGCCCTTGTCAACCACCTCCACCAAGTCTGGCCTCCTTAATGAGAACATTCACCCCCCCCCCCAACTTGGTTGCTTCACTACTGTTCTGTCGCGCGCTGGGCCTGTAAATAATTGTCTTTAGAACAGGATGTGCAACCTTTGCCCAGCGGGAAGCCAGGGGGCCTAAAGAGAAGTTCTCAGAGGTTTCCACCACAAACAGTCTTTAGATGGCTTGAGAAGTACAACAAAGTTCTTTATTAATGAACAATCAAACAGAAACTTCTCTTGTCTTCAGTAAAGTTAAGCAAATGATTCCAAGCTTTTAGGCAACTGGTGAATTCCTAATCTTGCCCACGAAGGACAGGCAACTGTCTTCAATAACTTCTTCTTTAAAGGAAAATCCCCGTTTTAACTTCTCCCAGGCTGACTGTAATCTAACCCTTACTGATGTGGGCTCCGCTACCGGGTCGAACTGCGTCTCGAACGCCGAGTGGACCTACCAGCAAGGCAGTAGATGTTCTCCAGCTGGAGTTCTTTGGTCTTTAGGGCTGTTTTCCTGGAAATTCTTTGGAGACTCTTTCTCCCCCGGAAGATCCTAAGGGTTGAAGCTTTTGTACAAAGGAAGCTTGCACACATCCTATACATAAGCTTACCTTGCTGAGACTAACTAAAAATGGCTCCCTTCCCAATTGCCCTGAGCAAGGGGTGGGACCAAAACTTAACATGATGGACAGGTGACTTGCCCTATGACTGCAACCAAAGGAAGCCGCCTATCTGCAGAGTCCCTGAAACCTAGGACTGCAAGCAAACATTTAATACAAAGCAAATAAAGTTGGAGCTCCTGGTACAGCTGTACCAGAACAACTACATCGGCTATTGCTTCAAGTAATGACAGTGTGAATAAATTGCTAATATTTGCTTGAGATAGTGCTTGCAGTTCTGGAGGGACTCTTGATTTTTTGCATCTCATAGACTTAGCATGGGGATTTGGTTAACCAGTTAAAATTCATGAGTAAACCAGGTTTTTTTAAAAAAATCTGAAACATTTTGGGGGGGGGGTTGAACCCCTAACACCCCCCCCCCTCGCTGTAGTTGCTGGTATTTATAGTTCACCTACAATCAAAGAGCATTCTGAACCCCACCAACGATGGAATTGAACCAAACTTGGCACACAGTTCTCCCATGACCAACAGAAAATACTAAAAGGGTTGGTGGGCAGTGTCCTTTGGTTTTGGAGTTGTAGTTCACCTACATCTAGAGACCATTGTGGACTCAAACAATGATGGAGCTGGACCAAACTTGGCACAGATATTACACATGCCCAAATCTTAACACAGATGGAGTTTGGGGAAAATAGACCTTGACAGTTGGGAGTTGTAGTTGGGATTTATAGTTCACCTACAATCAAAGAGCATTCTGAACTCCACCAATGATAGAATTGATCCAAACGTGGCACACAGTACTCCCATGACCAACAGAAAACACTAGAAGGGTTTGGTGGGCATTGACCTTGAGTTTGGGAGGTCATCTATATCCAGAGAACACCGTGGATTCAAACAATTATGGATCTAAACCAAACTTGGCACAAATATTCCATATGCCCTAATATGAACATGGAGTTTGGGGAAAATAGACGTTGACATTTTGGAGTTGTAAGGTAAAGGTAAAGGTAGTCCCCTGACATTAAGTCCAGTCATGTCTGACTCTGGGGTGTGGTGCTCATCTCCATTTCTAAGCCGAAGAGCCAGCGTTGTCCGTAGACACCTCCAAGGTCATGTGGCCAGCATGACTGCATGGAGCACCGTTACCTTCCCGCCGGAGCGGTACCTATTGATCTACTCACATTTGCATGTTTTCGAACTGCTAGGTTGGCAGAAGCTAGGGCTGACAGCGGAAGCCCACGCTGCTCCCCGGAATCGAACCTGCGACCTTTCGATCAACAAGCTCAGCAGCTCAGTGCTTTAACCCACTGTGCCACCGGGGGGAGTTGTAGTTACTGGGATTTATAGTTCACTTACGATCTAAACATTCTGAACACTACAAACAACAGAATTGGACCAGACTTCCCACACAGAACCCCATGACCAACAGAAAATACTTAAGGCCATCCGGTCCAACTCCCTTCACCAGGAAAAGAAAACATAACCAAAGCCCTCCTGACAAAGAGCCATCCAGCCATGGAAATAGATAGATAATATGATGCACACACACACATATGTATATGACAGATATAGTATCATAGATTTGAAAGGGACCCCTAAAGAAGGACAATTATATATTGCATGTTCCAGAGTAGGCAAACCAGACACTCTCCACATCAACACTGACAAGAAATACTGTTTACCTACAAGCATAAAGAAATGACATATATTAGAAACCAACACTTTCTCATTCCATTATTTTCCAGATCACCAGACTGGGCCACAGCAATGTGCGGCAGGGCACGGCTAGTAATATAACAATATATAAAATATAATAATCTATATAAATAAAAATGTGGAATTAGTTTGTGGAATTAACATAACTCAAAAACCACTGGACGAATTGACTCCAAATTAGGACACAACCCACCTATCAGGCCAACAAGTGACCATCACTCCTAAAAACACGGGAAAACACAGCGGAAGAGACTTACAAAGCCAAAAAAGCAAAATGTTGCTACAGCGCATGCACAAAAATGACGCCACCGGGAAACAAAACACACAATAGCATATCCACACTCTCTTCTGGACTTCAGCTCCCCTCGACCAGGTCTTTTAGGCAAGGAGGCTAAACCAAATGCACTGTTTCCAAGATGCAAGCTTTCTTCTCCTTGGATTTCTTTGAGAGCATCCCAATCCCTGCAAATTTCCAATTTCCTATTCCTGGACTGCAACTCCCAGCAACCCCAGCAATTAGATAGAGATAGATAGGTAGGTAGATAGATTGTTCAGGAAGATTGCTGGGTATTGCAGTCCAAGAATAGGTAGAGAAGGAAGAAAAGGGAGAAAAGGAAGGGAAAGAAAAAGGGGGAAGGAAGGGAAGTGAAGGAAGGAAGGAAGGAGATAAAGAGGGAGGGAAGGTTGGCCACAGCCTTGCTATAATATATATATATGATCTCACCAAGGCAGAGTTCTTCTTTTTTGAGTTCCAGGGCCAGAGAAGCAGATGGAGGAAACAGAACGGCCTGCCTCAGGGGAGCGTGCTTGCTCCATCCATGTTCAACATCTACACAAATGACCAGCCACTGCCAGAAGGGACAGAGAGTTTCATCTATGCTGATGATCGTGCCATTACCGCTCAAGCAGGGAGCTTTGAGATGGTAGAACAGAAGCTCTCCGAAGCTCTAGGTGCTCTTACTGCCTATTACAGGGAAAACCAACTGATCCCTAATCCATCTAAAACACAGACATGCGCCTTTCACCTTAAGAACAGACAAGCATCCCGAGCTCTGAGGATTACCTGGGAAGGAATCCCACTGGAGCATTGCAACACACCCAAATACCTGGGAGTCACTCTGGACCGTGCTCTGACCTACAAGAAGCACTGCCTGAACATCAAGCAAAAAGTGGGCGCTAGAAACAATATCATACGAAAGCTGACTGGCACAACCTGGGGATCACAACCAGACACAGTGAAGACATCTGCCCTTGCGCTATGCTACTCTGCTGCTGAGTATGCATGCCCAGTGTGGAACACATCTCACCACACTAAAACAGTAGATGTGGCTCTTAATGAGACATGCCGCATTATCATGGGGTGTCTGCGCCCTACACCACTGGAGAAATTACACTGCTTAGCTGGTATTGCACCACCTGACATCCGCTGGGAAGTAGCAGCCAATAGTGAAAGGACCAAGGCAGAGACATCTCCAGCTCATCCCCTGTTTGGGTATCAGCCAGCACGTCAACGACTTAAATCAAGACATAGTTTTCTTAGATCTACAGAGACACTCGCTGGAACACCCCAGCAAGCGAGAGTCCAAAAGTGGCAGGCCCAAACCCAGCACCTCAATCATGGGTGATACCAGATGAGAGACTCCCCCCTGGGCACACAGAAGACTGGGCGACTTGGAAGGCGCTGAACAGACTGCGCTCTGGCACCACGAGATGCAGAGCCAATCTTAAGAAATGGGGCTACAAAGTGGAATCCTCGACATGCGAGTGCGGAGAAGAACAAACCACTGACCACCTGCTGCAATGCACCCTGAGCCCTGCCACATGCACAATGGAGGACCTTCTTGCGGCAACCCCAGAGGCACTCCAAGTGGCCAGATACTGGTCAAAGGACATTTAACCAAATACCAAATTTGTGGGTTTTTTTTCCTTTTTTCCCCTTTTTCTTTTTAATTTGTGTGTTTTGCTCTGTTAGAATTGTAATACAATGGTTGCTGATGACACGATAAACAAATAACCAAGGCAGAATAGAGGGGTAGCATGACTTTTCTGGATCTAGACATTATACTGCTATTGATGCAGGCCAAAAACCCATTGGTTGACTAAAGTCAGACTAAAAAGAATTTTATCTGAGAATGGTTCTTGCCTTATTGGAAAATGAGGAAAGATCAATACCCAGAAAGGTCATCATGTGGCCTCAATGGGAGAAAGAAGAGGTCTACATACATACATCCTCGGTGACAACATCTGACTAAGGGGAAGAAAGAGGAATGCCCACTTTTAAGAGGCATGGAGAATTACAATGTGTTTGTGGGGGGCGGGGTGGAATTGGATTATTCAATCAATGCCTTCAAATGGTTACACTATTCTTACCTTTACTACGTCGCCGACTCCTGTACTGCTCCGTGTAGAAGGTCAACTGAGTCTCGTCATCAGCTTCAGAGCCGGAGTTGCCCTTGGCACGGCCAAAGCCAATCCCACCTACAGAGAAGGAAAGGCAGGGGAGGCATCAGTGTTGGTTTTCAAGGGAAGTGTAGAGCTGGAAGAGAACACCAAGAAGCTCCCTGATGGTGCAGGAAACCACAGTGAAAACATTCAAGATGGACAGCAACTTGACTTTGGTTTGATGAAACGGATTATCTAGATCCGTGGTTCTCAGTCTTTGAGTCCCCAGGTGTTTTGGTCCACAACTCCCAGAAATCCCAGCAAGTTTTTCTGGGAGTTGAAGGCCAAAACACCTGGAGACCCACAGGTTGAGAACCACTTATCTAGATCCATCCCAGTCTGGTTTCAGGCCTGGCCACAGAACTGAGATGGCATTGGTCGCCTTGGTGGATGATCTACGTAGAGAACTGGATAGGAGGAGTGTGTCTCTTCTGGTTCTCTTCGACCTCTCAGCGGCTTCGGATACCATCGACCATGGTATCCTTCTTGACCACCTCACGTCAATAATAATAATAATAATAATAATAATAATAATAATAATAATAATATTGTCGTTACTCAGATGATTAATTGGAACTTGTGCCACAAATACCATCTGCCTGTGACAAAGAACTGGTTGGATTAAAAGCTGGAAAAAGTTACAGAAAATGAACCCAAATTCCAAATTCAGACAGAGAGTTTTGGAGCACGAGACTCCTGACCTCCCGAACATGTTAAAAAACAAAGTATGGATTGTCAGTATTGCAATCCCAGGTGACAGCAGGATTGAAGAGAAACAACTGGAAAATCTGACACGATATGAGGATTTAAAGATCGAACTGCAAAGACTCTGGTACAAGCAAGTCAAGTGGGTCCCAGTGGTGATTGGCACACTGGGTGCAGTTCCTAAAGACCTTGGCCTGCACTTAAATACAATTGGCGCTGACAAAATTACAACCTGTTAGCTACAGAAAGCCATCTTACTGGGTTCTTCACGCATTATTCGCCAATACATCACACAGTCCTAGACACTTGGGAAGTGTCTGACAGGTGATCCAATACAACAGCCAGCAGAGTGTCTGCTGTGGACTCATCTTGCTGTGATTCAAATAATAATAATAATAATAATAATAATAATAATAATAATAATAACTTTATTTTTATACCCCGCCAACCATCTCCCCAAGAGGACTCGGGGCGGCTTACAAGGGACAAGCCCAATAATAATAATAATAAAACAAAACAGATTAAAGACATCAAATATGAAAATATATAAACAATCACAATTGTAAATAACATCAAGCAATATGGCTCAGATAAAAAAAACATAGCTTGAGGTACAATGGGTCCTGGAGGCACTGTGCTACAGTGGTTCCATTCCTTCCTAGAGGGTTGGGTCCAAAAGGTGGTGCTGGGGGACTCCTGCTTAACAATACAGTGTCCCAGAATACTTATACGGAATCTGAACAAACACAAAGTAATATATGTTAAGAGAAAACTCCCTTTCACTTTGTTTTCATCTACCGTATTGAGCTATGTACTGGGAATTTTGGTATATTGTATACCAATAGTATACTTTCTCCTTACATAGATTACTTCATGTTTGTTCAGACTGCTGCTCAACCCCATGGCCTTTGTCATGTGGGGTCCCAAAGGGCTCAATTATGTCCCCTATGTTTTTTAACATCTACATGAAACCACTGGGAGAAATCATTCAAAGTTTTGGAGTTTGGAGCCATCTGTATGCAGATGACACCCAACTTCCACCTGATGCCAAGGATACCATCCTGACCCTGAACAGCTGTGATGGAATGAATGAAGAGGAACAAATTGAAATTGAATTCAGACAAGACAGGCATACTATTGGTTCGTCGCAGGGCTGATCAGGGTATTGGGCTGCAACCTGTACTGGATGGGGTCACACTCCCTCTAAAGGCCCAAAGGCTTTGGTGGGCATTGACCTTGTATTTTAGAGTTGTAGTTCACCTACATCGAGAGAGCACTGTGGACTCAAACAATGATGGATATGGACCAAACTTGGGATGAATACTCAATGTGCCCAAATGTGAACACTGGTAGAGTTTCGGGAAAATAGACCTTGACATTTGGGAGTTGTAGTTACTGGGATTTGTAGTTCACCCACAATCAAAGAGCATCCTGAACCCCAGCAACAGTAAAATTGGGCCAAACTTCCCACACAGAACTCCCCATGCCAAACAGAAAATAGAGTTTCCTGACGGTCTTTAGTGACTCTTCTAACACCCCTTCACGACCCCCAAGGGGTTGAGAAATGTTGGTTTAGCCTATGTGTGTGCATGCACCTTCAAGTCACATGTTGACTTATGGTGTGTCTTAGGGAAGGAAACCTCAGAAACAGCTTTGCAATATGTTGTTGTTAATTCATTCGGTCACTTCATCAAGAAAACCAAAGTGCTGTTCCAGCAGTCACCAACCAATCCCTCTCCAATGCCAGAGATACAGCTTAATGGTGTAACATTAGAAAATGTTGACCATTTCCGCTCCCTTGGCAGCCACCTCTCCACAAAAGTCAACATTGACACTGAAATACAACACTGCCTGAGCTGTGCGAGTGCAGCATTTTTCCGAATGTAGCAGAGAGTGTTTGAGGATCAGGACATCCGTAGGGATACCAAGGTGCTTGTTTATAATGCTATTGTCCTCCCAACCCTGCTATACGTCTGCGAGACGTGGACTGTCTACAGACGTCACATGCAACTCCTAGAACAATTCCATCATTGTTGCCTCCTAAAAGTCCTGCAAATTTCTTGGGAAGACAAATGTCAGCGTGCTGGAAGGAGCAAAGACCACCAGCACTGAAGCAATGGTCCTCCGCCATCAACTTCGCTGGACCGGCCACGTTGCCTGACCACCGTCTCCCAAAGCAGTTGCTCTACTCCGAACTCAAGAACAGAAAACGGAATGTTGGTGGGCAGGGAAAGAGATTGAAAGACGGGCTCAAAGCCAAACTCAAAATCTCTGGCATAGACACTGAGAACTGGGAAGCCCTGGCCCATGAGTGCTGCAGTTGGAGGTCAGCTGTGACCAGCAGTGCTGCAGAATTTGAAGAGGCACGAATGGAGGGCGAAAGAGAGAAATGTGCCAAGAGGAAGGCGCATCAAGCCAGCCCCGACTGGGACCGCCTTCCACTGGAAACTGATGCCCTCACTGTGGGAGAAGATGCAGATCAAGAATATTTATTTATTTATTATTTATTTAAAACTTTTATATCCCGATCTTGTCACCTCCGTAGAGGGACTCAGACCAGCTTACAGCAAGGATTCAATGCTACTGATACAAGTTAAAACATCATACAACAATGCAAGATTAAAATACATATAGATAAACTACATATATACCAAATCGCTAAGGTAAAATCATGTTCAACTCAGTCCGCATATGTGGTCACTCACTTTGGTCTGTAACCAGTCTCAGCCATTATTCTGGGAATAGTTCAGTCCATAACCAGGATTTCACTAGCCTCCTGAAGGACAAGAGGGAGGGGGCAGATCTAATCTCGCTCGGGAGAGAGTTCCATAGCCGAGGGGCCACCACAGAGACGGCTCTGTCTCTCGCCCCACCAAACGTGCTTGCAAAGGTGGTGGGACCGAGAGCAGGGCCTCTCCGGAAGAATAGGGCTCCATATCACCTATGGACCTACTGTCAGGATACTACACTTGGAGGACCATAATCCTCGGACTACGAGGGATCGCCGAAGTGAAGTGAAGGGGTCGCGGCATTAGGAAGGTTGAGAAACACTGCTCTAAATAGTTCTACTTAATAGGAAATAGACCATTTTACTGGCTGGCTGCAACATTGAAATGGTAGTTTTCTGGCACTCCTTTGCAAGCCCTCTTGCAAAGCAGTAAATGGCTATGAACTTTTGCTCCAGAACAACTGTCCAAGCCACAAAGCAGATATGAACAGAATTATGGGGGTTTTTTTGGGAGAATTATGATTCTGAACACAATCTGACCAACACAAAACCCCTGCATGAAGCAAGGACAAAGTTTCAGACATATGGCACTGTGGTTTTGCTGCTGGCAAGCTCCAAGCCTGAAGCCCTGAAGGTCAGAACTCAAAAAGCCAGATGAACACGTTTCCGCCAAAGAGTCCTCTTCCTCACTCTTTCTCTCTTAATTCAAAAGTATTATCTGTAGAGCCCAGGGGAGAAATGGATGACCTGCAGCGTGGATAATATATAGTTTGGCCTGGCCATAGCTCCAAGCACGAATAACCCTCTTTTCTCCCATTGCATAGTTTATTTTCCCAGTTTTTCCCATAGCTCTCTGAGTGCAAGAGCAATGATGGAAGGTGAGGGCATGTGTGTATGAGTTCCACCTTCTTTATTACCAACACGGCATTGCATGGGTTATTTGAAAAATCCAAATTTCTTATTTTACAAAATGCATAAGAGTGTGGGTGAACTACAACTCCCATCATGCCAGGTTAACTCCAAAAAAACTCCAATAGCACTCAAAGTTTGTTATGTTGGGCAAGTCTGTTCTGGATGCATCATTGGTGGGGTTCAGTGTGCTCTCTAACTGCAGGGTAAACTACATCTCCCACTATGGTGAGTCGGTCCACTCAAACCCCTCCAGTAGGTTGAGTTAGTCATGAGGGTTCTGTGTTCCAAGTTTGGTTGAGACCCATCATTGGTGGAAGTCACAGTTTCTCTGGTTGCGGGTGAACTACAACTCCCAGAAAATAAGATCACTTCCCCACAAACCTCTCCAGTAATCAAATTTTGGCAAATCAGGTATGTATGCCAAGTTTTGTCCATCGGTGTTTGGGTTCACAGTGTTGTCTGGATGTAGGTGAACTACAACTCCCGCTATGGTGAGTCAGTCCACTCAAACCCCTCCAGTAGGTTGAGTTAGTCATGGGGGCTCTGTGTGCCAAGTTTGGTCCAGGTCCATCATCAGTGGAGGTCACAGTTTCTCTGTTTGCGGGTCAACTACAACTCCCAGAAAGGAAGGTAACTTCCCCACAAACCCCTCCAGTAATCAAATTTTCACATATCAGGTATGTGTGCCAAG